TTATCACTTCGAGAGTCAAAAAAAAAAAAAAGCATATCAGGCAACACAAAATGAATACCCGTGGCTCCTGATGATATATTGAGGTCTTATGAAGCGAAATGATCAGTCTGTGCAAGAAACTGAACATTATTTACAACATTATTACCTGTAATCCAGAGCCTCAGGTAAACAAGGAAGTCGGATTCTTTTCAGTGAACTGGTTCTTTCGGACAGTTCGTTTCAATGAACAGGTTTAAATAACTGATTCACCCATTCGTTTACGTAAACACGCAATGATGTAACACACCTGCAATTATAATATTAAAGAACCCAATAATGAAGTGAAACGCTGATGTTTTACATGTTTAGAGCATATGAAGTTAATAAACTACTCTTAATCAACTCACCTTTTTACATAAACCACGAGAAACCAAAAAAACTTTCATTTCGCCCATTCCAGACATCACTCTGGATTGTTTGCCTGAGGCGGTTATAAATAAATGTTCAGTTTCTTGCACAGACCGATTGTTTCACTTCATAATACCTCAATATATTATCAGGAGCCATGAGTATTAATTTTGTGTTGCCTGATATGCTTTTTTTTGACTCTCAATGTGACGGTAGCTGCTGACTTGCATTTTAAGAATTACCAAGAACCACGGTTTCAGCTAAAAATCTTCCTTACTGTTCTACTGAAGACAAAAAGTCACCTACATCTTGAATGACTTGAGGGCGAGTAAATTGTCAGTAAAATTTCATTTTTGGATAAACTATACCTATAATTGTCCAAATACTTTTTAGGGTCACTAAACATCTCCCTAAGGTGGAACTGAACTCACTTGTGTTCTGGGGGTATGTGGGACCCCCGTTCAGATGGGGTTGAGGCACAGAGAACTGGGAGGAGCTGGCAGGGGCGCGCCGGTAAGTTCCGGTGGCTGACACCATCGAGGCGGAGGAAGAAGTGGAGGAGGAATTGTGTCTGGAGATCTGCCGGGAGATTGTTCCAAACTGAGACATCGGGATCGGACCCAAACCTGGACCTGTAGAGAGGACAGAAGAAAAGGACAGTCACAGAAGATAAGCCCAAAAAATATATTTTTTTCCATATTGATTTCACTTAAATGTTATCATCTTGATATGATATTGGTCATTGCCCAGCCCTAATGGCCACTGTGAAAAATGTGAGTGGTCACCTGGTGCCATACTGGGAGGGGAGGGTGTCGGCACAGCCAGAGGGATTCCCATACTATTACTGCTGTTCTCTCGACCGCCACTGCCCCCACTACTGCCACTGAGACAAGGAGAGACAATCAGGTTACAAAGAGCTATTAAAGCAACAAGCATGATTGCCATAAAAGTGGCATCCTTTAAAAGTCATTTATGACACTATCAAAACCTTTTACAACTTGAATCTGGAGAATAAATGTGATAAATAAAAGGTTAAGAAACCGTTTACTGTTATTTCGAACCTTATTGACCTTCAGCTTTCTCAGTGAGTATAACAAGCCCGCTGGGAAAGCAATGACAGCAGTGAATCAAATTTATGAGCAATAAGAAGAAGACCTCCAGATTTATACTAGCATTTAAACAGTGCCATAGAATTTCAAAAATGACCAATGAACAAGTATAAGTGAATGCCATAACTTCACTGACACTGACGAGGAAATGGAAATAAAGATGGAGATTGTGATAGAGTTTAGGGATGTTCCAAAGCTGCACCAACATAAATAATTTTTAGAGGTTAGAAACAAATGGAAGCTAATTTCCAGGTCTTTATTTCTCACAATCACGACTTTTATCTCACAACTGCAAGCTATAAAAAAAAAATACTACCATGAAACCCAACATTCAATGTTCAGTGCATGTTCTGATGTTTTTTTTTTTTTTACATTCTAGCTCTTGTAAAAGACTAAATAAATTAGAATTCACATTTATGACTCCAAGATACATTACCATTTAAAAGTTTGGGTTTGGTAAGATTTTTTTAAGTTTTTGAAAAAAAGTCTCTTATGCTCACCAAGGCTGCATTTATTTGATCAGAAACACAGTAATATTGTTAAATATTCTTACCATATAAAATATCTGTTTTCTATTGTAATGCATTTTAAAATGTAGTTTATTCTTGTGATGCAAAGCTGAATTTTATTAGCAGCTGTTACTTCAGTCCTCAGTGTCACATGATCCTTGAGAAATTAATCTAAGAATCATTCCTTATTATTATCAATGTTGAAAACAGTTGTGCTGCTTATTAATTTTGTGGAAACAGTGATACATTATTTTCAGGATTCTGTGATGAATAGAAGGTTCATAAGAACATCTGACATAGAACTCCTGACTGTCACTTTAGATCAATTTAATGCATCCTTGCTGAATACAAGGATTAATTCCTTTCAAAAATAAAAATCCCCAACCTTTTGAACTAGTGTATATTCCAGTATGCCTCAAACCATCTCAAACCATCAGAAGGCCTGCGTTGTCTTGTGAATGCATGCGCGGAGCTGTACCTGTGCGTTCGGGGTCTCTGATTGAGCGAGGCAGTGCGTCCTGGGCTGTTCTGGCTGCCCAGACGTGCTGGACTGGTCATGTAGTCATTAGGCACCACAGGAGGTTTGACTGGCTCGAGCGTCTTATACGGTGTGTTTCGTCTGAAAAACAAAAACACACATACAAAAAATGATGATGTTCAGATGCCTAAAAACACAAGAACTGTAACAGCATAAATAACAAAAATCACACGAGACAGGATATTTTATAACATTCTAATAATGGAGGTGTGCAAAAAAGCATGGACACATGGAAAGTGAAATACAGTGACTTACCCCAGGGTACCTCTCCCTGCCATGGGTGGGCTTGGGGGCTTCTGTGTGGGTGGGTTAGTCCTGGATAATGTTCCTCCACCTCCCCGAGCTGGCTGGTTATTCCCTTGCTGAAAGACATTAGACAGGGGAAACAACATTAAGACAACTTTCACAGTCATGATAATATCTGATCATTCTAAATGCTAATCGGTTGCAAACATACAGCGTGATGTAAACTACAAAGAAATGCTTATACTGAACAAAACAGAAAAATTTTTATGATGTGTTGTATGCAGGCTGAATTTTACTGAGCCATTACACTCTTATAATAGTACCAGTTTTCTCAAATAAATGGAAGATATTTATGATCTACAGTCTACTATAATGTGCATTACACAACATTGTACAAAAATGTTTGATGCTTGGAAATAAAGAACCAAGGCAGAGATGGTAGTGATACAGGAGCCACAAAGCAAAGCGGGTTGTGTAAGGCTGTACTTACCTTTGCTTTAAGCCACTAAGTGAAAGCATTAAAGAAGAGAGAAGATAAATCATGTTATTTAATCACTTGAACTTAATGAAAAAGTGAGAGAGGAGAAGTGAAACAAAAGACCTTTGAATATACAAACAAACAAACACTGATCTAATTTGACTGATAGGAATCAAGACAGACAGAGCAGAAAGTCAAGGCTGCTTACACAAAACTACTGAATGATAATCACATAAACGTCAGTCATAATTACCATCTAATCAGGCTCATTTAATACAGAAAGCAGAATACTGAATCGAATCAAATGTCTTTTCTAGCTTACAGTGTATTTCTAATAAATAATTATCCCTAACGTTCAATATTATAATGCATATATATATATATGTTTGTTTTTTTAAACCTACATACACACACACACACACACACACACACACACACATATATATATATATATATATATATATATTTCTTTTCTTTTTCTTGTTTTACATGTTGAAAAAAAATAGTATGTTCATTTTCATTTTCTGTGGTAACATAACTGGTATGGATAATTGTACATTTTTACTGGTACTGTTATCGAATTTTGAAATGTTGTTATAATAATAATCCGACATCCACCAATTCTGATAATGGCAACATAAAGTTGTGACTGATGGTGGAGGAGAGAGGCGTGTCCTCTGGGCATGTCAATCACAGGTGACTGACACAGAGAGAGCAACATTTGATGAGTTAAGTGTCCTAATTACAGAGCCAGTATGAGGGCAGCCTGCGGGCCTTTACTCCGCCGAGGGGGAAAAGGTCATCGCACATCAGCATGAAACTAATGAAGCAGCTAAAACAGGTCTTGGGGTGAGCTGCTGGCACATGGCCTCAAGATCTGCCTCAATTATATGTATAAGGAATGAGAAGACTGAACAGTCAGTGAATAACGTTGACACTGTGCAACAACACACCATCCACACCAATCATGTCTTCATCCCATAAAATATAAATAAATAAAAGACACATAAAGGTCAAAGTAAAAATACAAAGACATCTTTCTTAATTACATCTCAGTTGAGATAGCGACAATCTAATGTGATAACATCGGCAAGAGGGTCCAGACTCAGAGAGCAAACTGATGTCATTATAACAGCTCAGAGCTGACACTGATGGACATGAATAATTTAATAACATGAATATAGTGAGGGAAACCCGAGGGGTCTACACACACAGACACGCGCACACACACACGCACACACACACACACGCACGCACGCACAGGCACACGCACAGGCACAGGCACTTTCTACCATGTTAATGTTTTCAAACTCAAAAATGAAAATTCTGTCATCATTTACTCATGTTGTTCCAAACCTGAATGAGTTTCTTTTTAAACAAAAAAGAAGATATTTTGAAGATGTTCGGTAACCAAACAGCTGACGGTAGCCATTAACTTCAATGGCATGGAAAAAAAAAATACAATGGAAGTCAATGGCTGCCGTCAACTGTTTGGTTACCAACATTCTTCAAAATATCTTCTTCTGTGTTCAGCAGAAGAAAGAAACTCATACAGGTTTGGAACAACTTGAGGCTGAGTAAATGATGACAGAATTTTCATTTTTGAGTTTGAAAACATTAACATGGTAGAAATTACAGGTTCTCTTATATTTTATTGTATATTAACTAGTCACATTTTATTCTAACATTGGATTCTTTCTTACCCTTTTTCTGTGTGCTTTAACTCTTTTTTAGCAAAAATGACTATATGTATAGTATCTATTCACTTGAGGTCTTGTTTTTTTTCTTGATTTATTAAAAAAATATATTTTGTGTCTCTAAGCTAAAAAGTCAGTAAAACTTCTAGATGTAATGTAAGTAAGCAAGTATGATTAATAGTAAGAATGATGCTTGTTTAGTAAACATCAAACACGTGACATTAAAATGTCAAACTTACTTTAACACCGTGACCCACATCATCCAGCAGGGTGTAATCTATGGGTTTCCTGATGTAGCGCACAGGCCGCTCCATGTTGCCGGGGGCGATGATTTTGTGGGTTCGAGATGTGTTTTTGTTGGTGGTGAGGATCCCGATCTCTCGTCTGGCAACTTTTTCTTTATGAATGTCCACAGTCTAAGTGAAGGAAAGGGATGAAAATGGGTGAAATTTTAGAATGGTAAATATATTATATTCCAGTATATATTCATGGGTTTCAGTCACGTGACTTTTTTTTGTTGTGGCCGCCATCTTTAGGACCTTTGCGTAGCCTCTCTTGGGGATCGGAAACGCACCAAAATAGCAGACCTCACCACCGACGAAAAACAACCAACAATTTAAAGAACACAGATACTTTAGGATTAGATCCTTAATTTGCTGTCAAGTGAACTTCTTAATTAAATAGATTATAATATTAATACCATGACATAAATATATAAACATCACATTATTATGAATGCAATTTTAAAATCCATTAAAGAAATCACTTGATTAAGCTGGCATGAGGAAAATTTATTTACACAACTATGCAATTACAGAAAAAAAAACAGCAGTTATACAATAAGTGTAGATAAAATATTAACACATTTTGAAAATTACCCATGCATTTGGTTATACTTGGATTGTAAAATTTAAGTAAAGCTTAAAACATTAAAAACTTGTTTTGAACAACATGTTGGTAAATGTTTTTGGAATTAAACATTTCGTACATGGCAATATAATTTATATAATTACCTAACTATTCCTATGGATCATTTTTGAGTGAATCAGTGACTACTGTTCCTTGGTTGTTGCTCATTTTCCAAATCTTTTATCGGGAATTGTATTCGTTGTGTAACATGTTTTTCCACATCTTAATCTGGTGAGTTCTTTGCTTGGGAGCTTTCATTTCTGCACATGTAAAGAGCAAATAATATACAAGTATCCATTACTAAAGGTCTAACTTAATGCACCAAGCTGAATTAAATTAAATATATATTGTAGTAATTCACATGTTGTTTGACAGACTATTATAAACACTAATTGCAATGCAGCATGATTAATATTTAAAGAGTGTATCATCCTAATTAAAGGGATAGTTTGTCAGTTTGTCTCTTCAGTTATGATTCCCCCCAGTTGTTGCAAAAATTACACGGTATAATGGTCAATGCAGACATTTACTTGAACTTACTTCCTCTTTGGCTCTAACTGCTCCTAGTTAGTTCAGTCAGAGAAGTAAAATAAAGATGATGCACTGCCTTCAGCTGGACCGTCATCATCCTCCTCTTCTTCTTCATCTGTTTGTTTGCGGATCGGAGTGTTGCTCTCAACGTTTAGTGCAGTGGAAACACTCTAGACTTACTTAAAGGTGGGGTATGTATTTTTTCAAAAACGCTTTAGAAAACTGAGTTGGGCCGAGTACCAAAACAAACTTGTAGCCAATCAGTAGTAAGGGGCGTGTCTACTCATGATGCGGAGGAGAGAGCGCTCCACACACAGGACAGACAATAGCCGAGCGTATCGGATCAGCTTTCCAGCGCTGGAGAGAACTTAAGGAGCGGAAGGCCTGCGATCGGACGCCGAGGTTGCTTTGTTTCTTCTTGATAGGCGAGTAACACTGTGTCTACACCGGACGCGACAGTTGCGCCACAACAGCTATGTCTGGTCGATACACTGGACGCGACAAAGCGACCGTTGAAAATCATTTGAAATTTGTGTCAATACGTCATAAATAGAACGCAGCAGCAGTTTTCTGTCGGGGATTTGTCGTGTCGTGCAGCGCCACATCCAGTGTAGACCATAGATATGTATATATATATATCTATGGTGAAGACAGAATCATTGATTATAATGAGTTCTATAGTATTTTGTCGCGCCGCGCCGCTCGCGTCCGGTGTAGACACGGTGTAACATTGGTTTTGCTTTGTTGCACAGAACTAATCGTTGCCTGGGTTGCGTACGTATGTGTGTGGCAGAGCTTTTAAAATAGAGGCGTGTTTGTTTTGGTGATTTGAAATATCAACATTGGCTACCAGAAATCACTTACCCCACCTTTAACTATACTTAGATCAAAAACATCTCGTTCATGTATTAGCTTTAGGTGGTAAGCATACCGAAAGTATTCGGGCAAATCATTAAAGTCGCGTTCGCTGCAGTCTCGCACAAGTTGTTAACTTTTTCAAGTTCCTTTATGAGCGCCTGCTAAGTAAAATACTAAAAATGTAAATGCACATCGATGCTTACCAGACATATTTAATCAAAATGACCCCATACATCTTCATCTCTTGGTAAATAAGCCATTGTGATTTGCTGTTATCACAGCAGATAGACGGCATGTAGGTCCTACAAATGGCGGCCGCACCACTGTGTGACGTCACATGAAATCTATGAATAGTTTTAAATTGTGTATGAATACTAATGAAACATAACTTCATTAGTATTTGTAATATTTGCATTTGCATGTAAAGTGAGGTATTTTACATATAAAAGGTACGATAATACCTTCATTAGAGCAAATCATTAGATCTAGTTTCCATTAAGGCTCTGCAAATCTACTCTAGCACATAATGGGGGAACGGGATCTCTTACCCTCAATAAACACACTCCATCTCTCTCTTTGGATGAAAGAATTCACGCCGACATTGTGTTCAAATGGTGATGCATGTACAGAGAAGACTAAACATGTCTGAGATGCTCTTTACAAATCAGGGTCTAGTTATTATAGCGGTGTCAAGCATTATGATTATTTAATTTCCAACATATTCAATGCAGTTAATCACTATCTAGTCTAGTCGTGTAAATCTAATTATTTATGCATATTACATAAATAAGTGATGGCAGTCAGGAACAGCAGAGCATGCAAGGTCAGCTGGAGATGTAAGATCATTTTTGCATTTGGTGCTCCTCTCCCACAGCAAGGGTCGAAATATTAGTTTTTTTTATTTATTTGTATAGTATGATTCACAATATGCATTGTTTCAAAACCGCTTTATTGAAAGTTGCATGGTTATGTCAGTAATTGTGGTGTTAATTTTAAGTTTTGTTGTAAGCAAGAGTAAATATTTCTCAGAAAGCATCAATGAAGATACAAATGTCTTAAGTCGCTGGGGTATATTTTTAGCAATAGCCAAAAAAACATTGTATGGGTCAAAATTATCATGTTGATCATATGAAGATATTTTGTAAATGTCCTACTGTAAATATATCAAAACTTAATTTTTGATTAGTAATATGCATTGCTAAGAACTTCATTTGGACAACTTTAAAGGCGATTTTTTTAAATTATTTTTTTTGCACCCTCAGATTCCAGATTTTCAAATAGTTGTGTCTCGACCAAATATTGTCCTATCCTAACAAACCACACATCAATGGAAAGCTTATTTATTCGGCTTTCAGATGATGTATAAATCTCAATTTCAAAAAATTGACCCTTATGACTGGTTTTGTGGTCCAGGGTCACATATGGTTGTCTTAAGTGAAAACTAGTAGTTGCTTAGCAAAAAGTCTGTTTTGAGTTTAACATTTTCCAAATTTAATCAGAAGTCAATTAAGCGACAATGTTGAAAAATATAGGGTATGGCTTTAATTTCAATTAGTAGCATCTCTGATTACAGGCAAAATTACTATAACAAGACGGCTTTCCTTACTGTGGTTAAAAATTAGTTGTATCATTGTAAAGATTTTGAAAAATTACTAATATCGTGGAAAGGATTTTGTTCATATTGCCTACCTCTAAGAAATTTAAACAGGGATCTGTCAGAAGGTTTACACATAAAATTTACTAGTCACGAATATTTTTTTTTTTACAACCGTTTATTTTATTTTATTTCCAACAACTGAATGAATGAACACACAAATGAATGCCAACTGAATTATATAATAGTTTTTAACTTTGCATATTTGTGGTAAGCAGTGTGTAAAATTGGAGAATCATGTTCAATCCTGTGTATTGGTAAAAAAAAACATTATAGGTCATATTTTTGTCTCTTTGTTTTAAGATTAAACATTGGTTAAAGTTCTGGATTTACAATAAAAAAATTCAGCTTAAACCCTGATGCTAAATTTTTCACTGTGATAAAAGTTTTTGTTTTTTTTCAAAGCATGCTGGGTAAGGGACACCTGGTTGTTTTTTTGTTGGCTTTGTGGTACCCACGGCTGACCTGAGAGATATGGTTGATGGAGGACTCCATCCTGCGCAGCTGTGAAGCCTGAATATCCAACAGCTGCAGCACATTGTTGGCTAAGGCATTGATCTGATAGGCCACGCTCGCCAGGGACTGTGTAGTGTAGGCTTTGGTCTCCTCGAGGGCTTTCCTCTTGTCTTGTGCCTTAGCAGAGATGAAAAAAAAAAGATCCCACAAGTTTTAAAGACATAGTTTGCACAAAAATTTAAATTCTGTCATTATGTACTCCCCCTCATGTCATTGCTAGTGAAATATAGTTTCAACCCAGTCATCCACAATAAATGATTTTCCAAGCTAAAAGCTGTTGTGCCTTTGTGAATGATGATGTAAAAGCATCTTGGAATTTCTAATGGACTCTAGAGGAAATATTACATCAGATCAGACCATCACGTGGAAAAAGTCATTGGCTGCTCAATGAAAGGTCAGTGATCCTCAGAGCGACAATGGGAAGTGATGGGCAAGTAACACACTAGATGCAGGTTCTTCCAGGATTGTCTATTATAAGTGTACTACTGATCATAATTATGGGGTCAGTATGATTTTCTAAAAGAAATTAATACTTTTATTCAGCAAGGATGCATTGTGTGACAATAAAGACAAATAAAATTACAAAAGATTTCCATTTCAAATAAATGCTGTTCTTTTGAACTTTCTATTCATCGAATAATCATGAAAAAAGTGTACCATGGTGTCCACAAAAATATTAAGTAGTACAACTGCTAGCAGAACATTGATAACAATAAAACATGTTTTTGAGCAAATCAGCATATTAGAATGATTTCTGAAGGATCATGTGACACTGAAGACTGGAGTAATGATGCTGAAAATTCAGCTTTGATCACAGGAATTAATATAAGGATAAGATAATGTCATAAGATAATTAAAAAATATTTACAAACATCAAAATAGAAAAGTTATTTTTGCAATATTTTACATTTTTTGTACTATATATTTTTTTATCAAATAAATGCAACCTTGATGAGCATAAGAGCTTTTTTTCAAAAACATAAAATTTTTACCAACCCCAAACTTTTGAACAGTAATATTGCTGTAAATTGCTTTAAATAAACACATCTACTAATTAAAAAAGTGATCAGGACCCCAGTAATATAATGATTTGAGTACATTTTATTGGGAGAAGAAAGTGGCTGCAGTGTGATATGAGAGATATGAGACATGTGGTCAAATATACAATTTAGCAGTCATTATACAAAAACATGTGACAACAGAATGCTGTGAATGACCAAGAAGAAGTATTTTATAGTAATAAAGCAAGAAATTCTGTAAACTAATCTGACAAATGATCTGATGAAACCAACAGGCAACAATAACAATGAAAAACTTTGGTTAAACAGTTTTCAGACAAGAGCGTGATGCGACTGAGACATCATTTCAGTGAGGATCCATATTCTATTGTTGTTGAAATTCAAAACTTTTAGCATTTCAAACAATTTCTTGTTTCATCAATAACTTACTATTTAGCTTAGCATGACAGACATGACATGTCTGCATTTGTGATCGGAGAAATGACAAACAACAAGCGCTACTCTACACTGCTTAGTCTGTGAGTCAGCATTATTTGTCAGAATCATAGACTGTATAGGGTCAGCATGCGCACCGAAGAAGAAACAGGGGAACTGAATTCACCGGAACACTGGCATTGTAGGCTACTCTCCCAGGAAACAGTCCTCGTCCTCTGTAAAATGCGTTGCACACATCTGAATATTTGGGTTGAACTGTTCTGGAACAGTGTTGTAAATACAACTTAACCACTGATTTCTAGTCGTGTCCTCTTTTGGAAGGCCAAACAAAGTAGTTTCGCTTTCATAACGAAACACACAGCGTCTCCACGACATGGCGGCGGCAACAATACTACAGCGAGAATAAAAGTTACGCCTTTCTTTGCATATACATTTGGGTGGTGTTATGCAAATCTTCCAACACAGTGACGTAGACATGTGGGGGCGTGTTTAAACGAGGCGTTTTAGGAAGGCGTGGACGAGTCTTAACTTTTATAAAGAATATCTCTTTGGGTTTGAGACTTTAGTCTTTGCAACTTTAGGGATCTTATCTATGCACAATCAGCTTGTAACACTCCAAAGAGAAAGGAAAACTTGAAATCGCATCATATGACCCCTTTAAACATATGGAAATAACATTGAGTTATTTTAGCATTTTCTAGCTTTGAGTTATTAGCTTTGGCATACTGATAGTGACCATGTCAGAATGCTTTGACATGAATAGTAGTCGCTGACTAGTATCTACATGAATACCATCGCTGACTCTAATCTATATATTGTTAACAATTAGCCTGTGACAAGCATGCAGCACTGAGCGCAGGTCTGCTTCAAACACCACCTGTTCCTGCATGTCAGTCCCGCTCAGCTGTTCTCAGACCATGTGTCTGTCGCCACGGGGGGAAATACAGATGAATGGAAGCATGAATGTCCTGGCTGTGTATTCCACAGTGTCATACTAGACTGCTACCCAAAAGCTCTAAAACAATGAATGACATGATTTAGACAGCACAAAGCAATGCGTTTTATTATTAATAACATGATAATTTATCAGGTACTGCTGGGTTTTCACTTATTATGTCCAAAATGTCATAACAAGTCTTGACTATGATTCCTATATTAACCTTTATAGATGTACACCAATATTTAAAAGTTTGGGGTTTGTAAATGTAGGCTATATTTTATGCTCACCAACACTGCATTTATTTGAATAGTAAAAACAGTACTATTTTGAAAAACTAGAATAATTTAATTTGATACATTTTAAACATTTTAAAAAATACTTTGTAATTTATTCCTGCTGGATTTTCTGCATCATTACTCCAGTCTCACATGATCCTTCAGAAATCATTCTAATATGCTGATTTGCTGCTCAAGAAACATTTCTGATTATTATGAATGTTGAAAACAGTTGTACTGCTTAATATTTTTGTGACAACATTCAGGATTGAAAAGAAAGTTCAAAAGAACAGCATTTGTTTAAAAAGGAAATATTTTTTAACCTTATAAATGCCTCTGCTGTCACTTTTGATTAATTTAAAGAATCCTTACAGAATAAAAGTAGTAATTTTTTTTTTTCTTTTTTTTTTAATCTGGTGTACAAGAAACATTTCTTATACAGAAATAAGTTCAAAGGAACAGATTCAATCTTAAATGTAATTTCTGATCAATTTAATGCACCCTTTTGGAATAAAAGTATCAATTCCATTCAAAAGAAGAAAATAATAATAATAATTTTGACCCCTACATTTTGAAGGTGGTGTACATATTCTTTGTCATGCCCAAATGAACACATCACTAAATCATGATTCATTCTACATGACACATTCTGGAATTCATTCACAAATGGTTTTAAAACTGATTCAAAGTGCATGGTGCAAGTCATTGTAAGATATGACTAACTTCTGTCTAGTGCCATAGATCCCTGCTTTGGACCTCTTCTCCAGAACGATACACCCACCAAAACCTCAAGAGAGACATCTTTGAATCATTTAGTCCTCTCATGAGTCCTCTGTGAATATCTGAGAATGTCTTTCTCATGTTGTATGTTCAAGATTTTTGTTGTCACATGCTTTCATTACACAAGCCCCAGATGACTGATGATCTCATGTGTTTTTTAATTAATTTATTTAGAAAACTAACGTGTATTTTTTGTTATGCATGTCCCAACTGATATATAGAATTTGCAATTGTCAGACAATTAATTTAAATTGTTATTTTATTTTAGTATATCATTTGAAGGCCTCTGAATCAAATCATAATCATATTGCATCATGGTCTAAGGTATCAGCAAATATCGTATTGCTGGCTATGAGAATTGATGTCAGATCTTTTCGTGATGAAATGTCCAATTTACACCCCTTTCATTTATTACATTTTATCAGCAAAAAATATTGCTATATATTTCCCAATAAATCCAAAACTTTCCCCAAAACAATGCCACATTTTTCATTTTGACAAAAAGTAGGGCCAGAGCTGTGAAAATACTTTTTTTTTTTTTTTTAAACAAACCTCTTCCTCATACATTTATATTGCTTAAGTTCAATAAATTTGTATCTATATGAAGTATTGAGTTATGGTCTGAGGACCGCTGGCTTTATGGTTAGTGAGAGATGAACAAAAACTAGGCTATGAGATGAAAATCAAATCAAATGGTACTGTGTTAAGAACATCCCACCGATCATAAATTTCACCAAGATGAATTTCAAAGTGATTACACGTTATGTTCAGACCTAATATCAGGTAAAGCTGTGTCTAAATAACTTGTGTATCATATAACTAGATGCTCTTAGTCCATATGTAGAGTACTGAGGGTTAAACAAATACTACATAAATTTGAACCTGTGATTAAATCATTCAAGGGAATGATTATTTCATTCTTATTCCACTTATTATCACTGCAGAATGCCCTAATAAAACACAATATCCGTATATTATATATTATGATATTATGATTCTCTATGGGGTTCAGGTCTGGTGAGTTTGCTGGCCAGTCAAGCACACCAACACCATGGTCATTTAACCAACTTTTGGTGCTTTTGGCAGTGTGGGCAGGTGCCAAATCCTGCTGGAAAATGAAATCAGCATCTTCAAAAAGCTGGTCAGCAGAAGGAAGCATGAAGTGCTCCCAAATTTCTTGGTAAACGGGTGCAGTGATGTTGGTTTTCAAAAAACACAATGGACCAACACCAGCAGATGACATTGCACCCCAAATCATCACAGACTGTGGAAACTTAACACTGGACTTCAAGCAACTTGGGCTATGAGCTTCTCCACCCTTCCTCCAGACTCTAGGACCTTGGTTTCCAAATGAAATACAAAACTTGCTCTCATCTGAAAAGAGGACTTTGGACCACTGGGCAACAGTCCAGTTCTTCTTCTCCTTAGTCCAGGTAAGACGCCTCTGACGTTGTCTGTGGTTCAGGGGTGGCTTAACAAGAGGAATACGACAACTGTAGTCAAATTCCTTGACACGTCTGTGTGTGGTGGCTCTTGATGCCTTGACCCCAGCCTCAGTCCATTCCTTGTGAAGTTCACTCAAATTCTTGAATCGATTTTGCTTGACAATCCT